AAACCTAATATCCTTAAGGATAAGATACAACTCCCAATTACAGGAAGAAACATCCCTCTAAATTGAAGTAATAGCCACCTGAGAATCAGATTCCACCACAACATCAACCAAATTCAACTCTTTAGCTCTCAAAAGACCATGTTTCAAGGCCAAAACTTCAGCCATAAGTGAAGATTGGGCAAGCACCTAAGCAGCAAGACCCCCAATATAAGAACCAACAATCTTCCGAATAATAACTCCAACTCCAGCCATAGCAGAACCAGATTTCCAAGAACCATCAGTATTAATCTTACCATAAGAAGAAATAGGGGGTAGCCAATGAGAAGGATGAGGAGAAGAAATCTGAATAGGCATACCCCCAGACCCAAGAACTGGCTTCTTTGTAACATTCCAAAATTCCAACACTGCCATGAATAGGCATACCCCCAGACCCAAGAACTGGCTTCTCTGTAACATTCCAAAATTCCGACACTGCCAAACAAGCACGAGATCTAGTAGCTGCAGGCACAATTGGGATATCATTATAAACAAATTTACACCGAGCCTTCCAAATATGCCAACAAGTGAAAGCAACAACCGACAAAATCCACTAGAATTGGGTGAAAACATACTCTCCCCTCTCAAGAGACTGCCCAACCATCTATCCAAAGAAGTAAAACTTTGCAAATCCATGCGATAGCCAATTGCACTTCCAAACCAAACACACGTTGTCCAAGGACAAAGGACCAGCATATGTTCAATTGATTCATGACTCTCCAAACAAATAGGACATAATTGCGAAGAGGACAACTTACGCTTATAGAGATTTAAGAAGGAAGGGAGAATATTAGAGACCGCTTGCCAAAGAAATTGTTTCACTTTCGGAAGGGTTTTGGACTCTCAAATGATCTTCCAAGTATCAAGAGAAATGTTTTGAATGGCTAGTTGTATCATACAACTTGTATGCTGTGAAACCCTGTATTTTAAAAAAATGTATATATACATATTAATATTTAATCTTTGCATACTATATAATTAATAATATATATATTTCATGGCAAGCCACGTGATATGAGTTTGGCTATAAACTAGTATAGCCTACCTTATCAAATTTTATTGCATAGCTTTCACTATGTTAATTCATATAAGTCCAATGTAATATTTATTATATATTTTTACACTTTACAAAAGCATTTAGAAAGGCCCTTATGCTTACTAAGCATTCTGTTCAAAATTGACATGTTGCAAGCATATAGTTCTCAAATCTTGTTACAGCATGAGGTGGAATATTTAAGCAGGAGGTGTAAGCATTGTATGTATTCTTATTTATAACCTTAATTTGAGAGTGCTCACCAAGCTTCCTATAAATAGCACTCCCTTATACTTCTTGTATCATAAGTTCTTCACTTAAATTGCTTTAGTTTCCTAAAATTCG